AAAAAAAAAAAAAAAAAAAAAAAAAGGACTCTTAACAGGTTCTAAATGCAAAAAAATTTTAAAAATAAAAACATTAAGTATAAATATAAATATAGGCTTATTACAGCGGTAATGGCACATCCTGTGAAAAAAGTACCAAGTTTTTGTAATGTTGGAGAAGACTACATTCTATCATATTCCAGTAGTGAGGGGAGAGAGATATGTTAAATAAACAGAATAAAAAACCAGAATAGACAAAGATATTGATTGTGGTACCCAGGTTTTACTATATTGCTCCCCTTTTAAGTAAATAAGAATTCCGACCAAAAGTTTATTTTGCTCAGCAATAAGAATTCAAGATATAGGGTGAGTTTTCCCTTTCCCATTAAATCCTTAATTGGAATCTTTATTCACCATTACCCCTACTTTTAAAGATTAACCCTGGCCCCAGTCTCAGTCACAGAGATCAGTAATACAGCAAGACATCTCAAGTTCTATTTTGAAAGCCCACTATCTAACTATAAAATACAAGGCAGCTAGCTCATGTGCAAACTCACTGGTAAACGTAGTCAATTATTTCTAAGCAGTCTGTAAGAAAATAAGCAAATAAAATGTCTTCAAATATTAAGAACAGATATATTTCTTTCTTTTTATGGTATATTTAACATCAAAATCATAAGCAGAGGAATGACCATATGCATGTTGTATGTGGGAAAGGCATATGACATTTATTAACACAGCATGGTCAAAAATAAACAGCAGATTGAATCCTAACCACACCTATTTATTAAAATGTTACTTGCCTCTCTGAGTCTCAACTTTCCTACTTATAAAATTAAACTAAAACTTCTTCATAAGTTTTTGATTGGATGAAAATAAGAATGAATACATTGTGAGTAGCACAGTGCATGGCAATAGTAAATGCCCGATAAATATTAATTTCCTTCCTGTCTTGAAAATGAAATAGCTATATATTGAAATAATGAAAATCTGTTCTGTTAAAAAGCAATAAACCAGTTTGGCATACAACCTTTGAAGGGCATATTAGAGCTCTCCTTTGAGCATTGCCACAACCAAAATCCTGACGCAGCTATGGGCCAATGAAAAGAATATATCCAACAAAGAGGAACACAAACTCTTTCTCCCTGGCATTGAAAGAGATTTTTCAAGAGGCCCAGGTTTCTTTCTCCAAGGTACTGCCCTGAGCCAAGAAACCTGAGTTGCTTCTTCTTATTGTCAATGTCATAATTCTAATAGTGAAAAGGAATGGGGTGGAGAAAAAAATGGTTTCTGAGTTTCTCAATGGCAGTGGTGACAAGAACAACTGGTTACCTGATGCTCAATCAATTCCATTTTTCCCTTTGAAAATGAGAGTCAATGGGAAAGTGAGGTCCAAAATAAAATACCAGCTGAGCTGAACTTCAACCCTACCCTGTATCAAGACATCAGTATAGATGCTAGTGTCTCTGATGATCATGTCTGCAAAAAAGGACATCAATCCAGGAAACCATTCATGGCCTTTTTTTTTTTTAATATATTTTTATTGATTTTGGAGAGAGGAAGGGAGAGGGAGAGAGGGAGATAGAAACATCAATGATGAGAGTCATTGATCTGCTGCCTCCTGCACAACCCCCCTTGCTGGGGATCAAGCCCGCAGCCCGGGCATGTGCCCTGACCAGGAATCGAACCACAATCTCCTGGATCATAGATCGGTACTCAACCACTGAGCCATGCCAGCTGGGCCATGGCCTTTTTTTTGTACTTAATCAGTTACAGTACCCTTGATAATAGGCTTATGAGAAGTAGATATTCTTGCTCATCTGTATCACTCAGTACAAATTACAGTGTCTTCAATACTTATACATACTTACCTCGGATAACTAAAATACAATATGGTCAAGAAGCTATGGCCAAAATAGAAGCATGCAACTGCTTTCTCAATTTCCCTTAGGTTGCTTTGAAAATTTTAAATCAGAGAATTCTGGGACCACAAATGATCTTAGAGGTGGTCTGGTTCAGACCTTACTCTTATAAAAGTTTATAAAACACAGGGAAGTTAACTGATTTGCCCAAGATCAGCTGGTAGAGCTAGGATTAGAATCTGGCCATCAAATTCTAATTAAGTATACTTTCTACCATATCACGACGGGGTTTTTTTTATATTTTATATTGAAAATCATTAAAGTGATTAAGGTTTTTTTCTTTTCCTAATAAGTTATTTGAAATTGTTAGCAGACTGTTTTCTAAAGTCTATAAACTAATTGCATGTATTAATCATAAAAATAACAACTTTCCCCTTTCTAGACCTTCAATTATTTAGAAAAAGTTAATCATCTATCATGCCAAATATAGTCAGCTCAATTACTCACAACACTTAAAAGATTATCTACTTTAAGGATTATTTTAAATAGGTTTTAAAATCCTGCACTTGATTCGTCCAGTTACCCAATATTTACAAGGGTATTTTGCACACCAAAGTCTTCCAAAGGGTCCTTAGAAAGTGGAAATCAATTTAAATATTATTCTAAATAATGCACAATTGGTTTAGGATAGAGATATACACAACAAATCCCTAAACAAAAAGACACTGGTGTTAATCGTGTTACTGATAGTGATATCCTATTCCATATCAATAACTAGTGTTTTTTTTATTTTGTTTTGCTTTGTTGTTTGTCTATCTTTCAGAAAGAGAAAGAGAAACATCCATCTGCCACCTCCAGGGCCCTCCCGGACTGACTGGGCATGTACCCTTCTGTGTACAGGACAACACTCCAACCAACTGAGCCACACTAGCCAGGGCTCAATAACTAGTGTTTTGAAAGGTATCCTCAATGCCTTAACTGTGCATTACATTTTAAGCGCTCTTTACAGACCACAAAACAGCTTGGCAAAAAGCATGCTGAATGGGTATATACAAAATGTGTGACGTGAATAACTGTCACAGGAGATGAGAGAAAGGTAAACACAACATGGACCTGACCCTTGCAAGATGGGTAAAGTGAGGATAGATGCTGTAGAATAGCATGAGTAACCACAAGGAGACAGAAGTAAATTTTTCACTCATACTACGAAGTTGGACCAGATCATGGAGAGTTTAAAGACCAAAATGAGAAATAGAAGCTTCACGTTCACCTTAATAACAACAGTGATATTATTTGAGATTTCATTTCTAATTCTAAATGTCCATATTCGTTTCTTTTTTTTCTTTTTTTTAATTCTTGACCCCACTAACTGAGGAACGTTTGTTGAAACATATTTTTGTTTAACATTTGTTGAACTTGTTCAAGTTTTACAAAACAAGAACTCACACTTGGCTTAAATCAGGATGAATCCTGAGACAATTTCTGTAAGGGGCAAGAGGCCAGAATCTGGATTCTCCCTAACTCTATTCAACAGAATTCCCCAGAGAAGGCCTTAAGAAGCAAATAATTTATATAGGTTGTACAAGAAACTATACATATTCTGATCTAAATCTGTAGTGCCACTAGTCATGTTACTTTAAGCATTCCTTAAAGCAACTCTCTCATCAATTCTAAATCCACAGTCTCCTTCAAACAAACCTGTCAGAAATATTTGCATTTAATCTCACTCCCTGTCCAAGTCTTTGGAAACAAGATAATATATCATTTGGTGTTCATATTAATCCATAGATTCAATAGCCTTAGTAAAAGGCACAGCTGACAGACGGCGCTTGCTCAATTGTGTAAAATGTACATTATCCAATTTAGGGGCTTAGTGCCCAGCGCCAGCCACAATAACCACATTTGCCACCGAGCAGTTGCAGAAGTACCATTTCTTCTTAATCTGAAAGCGAAAGGGCTCGGCTCACGCTCAGGGCTCGGCTCACGCTCAACCATTTGTCACTTACGGGAAAACAATACCTCAAATGAAAGGAACTCTCTCCTCTCCAAGTGTCAGAGGTTGCCGGCTGAACAGAACAGGCAGAAGAGCAGGATTCACAGGTGCACCTCTGCTGGCAGCGCGGGGGGG